CAGATGCCAATTTTGGTCTACTAAATTGGCATAGATTACAAAATCAGTACTGTTGATTAGAGTGTAAGGACTCCTGCACACTCATACATTGTTGGTAGGTATACACATTGATACAACTTTTGGTACAATGTATCAGAAATCCCAAAGACTAGACAGATCATATGAACCAAGAAATATAATTTTAGAAAAGTATCCTGAGGATGTATTTGGAGATTTGCGGTAAACATCATACATGTATCTTTCACACATTTTTTCTGTGAAAAATTGGAAATAACCAATAATCTAAATTCTTAACAAAAGATGAAGTAAATTAAAGTGCATCTAAAGGCTGAGTTATCATAAAGCTATTAAAAATCATGGTCAGTATAGAAAAAGTGGGGGTTTTTTGGGTTTTTTTTTTTTAAGATTTATTTTAGAGACAGACCATGAACTAGGGAGCAGGGGGGAGGGGCAGAAGGAGAAAGGGAATCTGAGGAGACTCCCCACTGAGAGTGAAATCAGACTGGGGGGGTGGGGGGAGCAGGGATCAATCCCATGACCCTGAGATCATGACCTGAGCCAAAATCAAGAGTTGGCTGCTTAACCAACTGAGCCACTCAGGCGCCCCTAGAAAAATGTTTTCAATAACTGCAGCAATCAGACATCTTCTTCAAGGTTTTTACAAGTTTTAAACCACCAGAAATATTACTGAATTCTGAGAGGGTCGTATATTCCCATGCCTCTCAATCTAGCGACATCATAGAATCAACTAAAGAAATAATGAGTTAAGAACTTGAATGCAAATGGCCTTTACCCATAAAAAAGCTCAATCACACTCATTTTAAAAGACAATCAAATCAAAATGCAATGAGATACTATTTTTCACCTATCAGATTGACAAACACCCTATCTGTCCACATCATACCTTGTTAACAAGGATATAAGGAAATCTTGTTACACTGTTGGTAAGATCACAAATTGGCAAAACTTCTATGGAGAGGAATTTTGCAGAATCTAGCAAGAGCTACAAAGTTACATATACATTTACCCTTTGCCTTAGCAACTTCAATTACAGGAGTCTATCTCAAAGATACACTAGCAAAAACATGCATGCGCCAGATAATCTTTGCAGAACTATTTGTCACAGCAGAAGAATGGAAACAAGAGTGGATTTGGTACATCTAGCAAGTGAAGCAATAAGCAGTTTAAGAAGAAATAAGGGATATTTCTATCCTGATCTCTAAGGTACACTTTTTTTTAAGTTTTTATTTAAATTCCAGTTAGTTAACATACAGAGTAATAGTTTCAGGTGTACAACTTAGTGATTTAACACTTACATACACTTTTAAGTTGAAAAAGAAAAAAAAGTAAAGCATAATAATATGCTATGGTTTACAGGAGAAGAGGGAGAAACATACATACAAGCAGACTGCCTACTCTTTTAAAAAAATTTTTAAAGTTTCTTATATTAGGAGGGATAAGAACATACAGACAGGAATAGAAGCTAGATTCGTCCAAATAGTTTGCTTTATAGATTTGGCTTTGGAAGCAGTAAATTTTACATAATTATACACTAGAAGGTAAGTTTTTGAAAACTACAAAATGAAAGCTAAATGAACTATACACTGAGTTGGTGGTTGAGACCACATAAATTTAGTTACAAATTTATAGGAAACACAAGGAAGAAAGAAACATAAAACCATACACAAGGATACCATCAACAATATCTGAATATGGGAAATTCTGAATGACAGAGGACCCAGTTTCCTCAACAATAAATAACAAGAAAAGAAAATGAGGGGGGCCTGGGTGGCTCAGTTGGTTAAGCGTCCCACTCTTGATTTCAGCTCAGGTCATGATCTCAAGGTCGTGAGATCGGGCCCAGCATCTGGCTCCATACTGGGTGTGGAGCCTACTTAAGATTCTCTCTCTCTAGCTCTGCCCTCTTTTCTGCCCCCGCCCACCACAGCCTTCTTCCAAAAAAAAAAAAGCACACACAACTACAAGCAATTTCCCAATCCAGGTATTATATACACAGAGCTGCAGCAGAGAATCACTGCTATCTCCAGCATTCAAATCATCCACAAAATATGATGAACAGGAGGGGGGCACAGATTATATAAAGTTCAGAACTAAAGTTGTAAACACACATTCAATGAATCAACCCAAACCATAGCAGACACAAAATACATAGTGAAGTACAGAAAAGGTATGAAGAGCTGTAAAGCCTCACTGCATTTGCCAGGTGACTCAAATTTCTCTCCTGATTTATCCTAAATCAGTGCATCTAGACTACCTCATTTTGTCCGAGGCATACTGCAAATTCAGTGGAGTTTTAAAATAATTTAAAGGCAATGGGGGTATTTTCTAAAACAACCCCGAAATAAAAGATCTCATTCTCTAAGACCTTGATTTTAAATACAGACATACACATTTCTCTCTCTATATATATATATATAAAATACATAAATACAAATACGAAATATATATGAAAGCCCAGGAAAAAAGTGTGTTTAGTTACTCATCCCAGAAAGGCTTTTTAGGCATACAGTGCTATGTTCCAAAATGTTTTTGAGATCAGGGAAAAGAAAAATATTTTTCTACAACGTTTAAGGATTTTGTGTTTCAGCTATTATCTTATGAACACCACTAACTCTGAACAGATTTAGTTCTTTAGGGCTGAGGTACAGTTTGCCTGAAAAAAAAAAAATTGTAGTAAGAGAACATATGGCTTTTTAGGGCAGGCCATTTGAGGGAAAAATGATGACCTCAGCTAGGTGGGAACTTGGATATTCAATGACTGTATGTGGGAGGGAGTAACCTGAAGTCTGAGAGGGGAAGTTGGAGGGAGGAGGAAGAAAAGTACATTGGGGAAGATAAAGGATATATTTTTAGACAGGTGGGATGCTGACTAAGCAGGTTCCACCACTAGGACAGAATGACCAGTTAGACAGATAACTCAAGTAGTGATCACACAGATGTTTTATAAATATTTGTTAACTAGTCTATGATAATTAAAACTGCTTTGGTAAACACTGTGTTCAAACTGAATCTAGCTTGACTTGTAATTCTGGTTTATTAAACCTTTTCTTGGGTTTTATTTTCCAGCCCATTAACTTTATAAGTATTCTCTAAAATGTCTTCTAAGTCTCTATTCCTCTACATTTACTTAGATATACAAATTGTTAATTAGACTTTAGAATTAAGGGGAAAAAATCTTTTTATACTTAATGGATTTGTAGGTTTTCTATAAAAAGTATGAGTTATTTCAAAATAAATATTTTCTCCTTCTTAAACTAAGTTCTACAACCAAACACACCACTCCAGGGAAGTGCATCTGATGTAGTTTTCCTATTCAGTATTTCAGCTTTTCTAATGTCTTAAAATTTTTGTCCTCTGTCTTTTTGGTTGATTTTTTGTTTTTGTTTTTTGTTACCTAAAAGTAATTTCTAGCAGACAACTCACAATTCAGACTATTTTATCATTTTATGGATAGGGAAAAGATTAATATCTATTATCTTTAAAGTGAGAGTAGTCTCTAATAACAATGACCTTTATCCCAGTACTTCTAGAAGGGAAAGAGAAGCACAGTGTATTAATGAAATTACCAAAAAGAGCTCTCTACAGAGTATTTCCCTCTATGCAGAAGTCACTCACTGCTGTATAAGAAATGTCAATAAGACACATCATCATTTAATATTACATGTTTATATTCAACTCTTGGTTCTCAAAAGTACTTTGACATCCCCTTTAGTTTTTCATAGTGCTTTTTCTCTAAAAAGATCCAAATACTGTATATGGCTTTTTAATAGGACTTGCAAATCAGAAAGAAAAAACAGGGAGAGAGGGGAGAGAAGAAAAAAGGGGGGAGGAGGGGGAGAGAGAAACTAAAAATTACAAATACAAATATCAAAAATTTAACAAGCCATGGTGGAATAAGCAATGCAAGTCAAGAGACGGGCTTGAAGTCCCAGTTCTGCCGGTAACCAGCTAGTTATATGACTCTCTGTGAGTCACTTAATTATGCTTTTTAAATTGTAAAAAAAAAAAAAAAAGTGATTTTGACTTAATGTTCATCTTAAATTCGATTTTCAAAATCTACTACAATTAAAGTATTTTCAAATATTGTATGATAATAACGGCTCAATTTAAGGTACGTCATTGCCATATGGAGTCCGTCCTTCACTTTTGTCTCAATTTGACCTGCAGCCTGAATTACTCAGGTTGCACATTCGAGAGGTACTTTGGAGGAAAAGGGACTGGGGAAAGATTCCTTTATACGATGGGATGGAGCCCAGCAAGTGAGGGAGTTTAGGAATGAATGCGAATGTATGCAGAAGACCTGGTCATTCTCAAATCAGGAGCACCGAAAATTCTGCTTAAATTTCGGGAAGGGGGATATGTGACAAAATCTAAGGGAAACCTTGAGCGGAGGTTTTCAGATAATCACTGTCTCCACCCTTCAATCCTTTATTCCCCGGGTGGACTCCAAATCTGCCTCCAGTTCCGGGTTCCCAACCAATCGCATCAAGCCACAACAGAGGGCTCTGCCAAACCGGGCACCGTTTCAGAGCTCTAGTGTGAGATTCACAGGACCCCAGCACCTGTCGGCCTTCCCAAAAGGAGTGGGTGGGAGGAAACAGTAGGTCTCTCTCCCGTCTTTTTCGATTGAAGCTACCACCAGGTCCATGAGCCCTCGAGCCTGAAACCACCTCCGTTAGTCTGGGGGAAGGGAGAGCTCCTCGCCCGTGACCCTCCCACGAATCCTTCCCCCACGGCTAATTCTCCAGTTTACAGGTCCCAACCTCCGACCGTGGTTTCTCAGGCCTCGGGTACCCCAGGCCTGGGAAGCGTATAGACGGATGCGGGGAGTGAAGGCAGCGGGGGAGGGTGCACTCCTCGCTACCGGAGGAAAAGATAGGAAGGCAAGGGTGGGAGCAGCTGTGTTCTCCCTTAGCGAGACCGTGAGGCCGTCCGAGAGTCTGTCGAAGGGTCTGTCATTCCTTCACTCACTCACTCACCAGGAGCAGCAGGGAGCATCTGAGGTCGGGTAAGGATAGGAAGACGGCAGGATTCATGGTAACGCCGGGGTTCGCGGCTGGGACTGGGCAGGGTTGGGTTGGGTTAGGAAAGGGCTGGGCTCCGGGAGCCGGCGGCAGCGGACGATCCTCCCGGCAGCGGGACCTCGTCCTCTGGACCCGGAGCTCCAGCAGCGAACACCCGGGACAACTTCCAGAGAGGCCTCGCAACCCTCACTTCCGGGTCCTGCCCACCTCGGAGCATATTGGGAAATGTGGTCCTGCACCACTTTCACTGAGTACGTCATCGGGCATCCAGAACTTCATTCCCATCAGGCTCTCGGCCCAGGTCCACCGAGTCCTCCGCGCGCGGGGTCCTGTGGGATAGAAAGGGCGGGGGGCAGTGAACCTCTGTTTTTAGAGGATGGGAACTACAATTCCCAGAGGGCAGTGCGATCGAGCGTCTCGGGCGGCCTTCGAAGGGGTTTTTCTAGTTTCAGCGTGCGGGGGGATCTCCCAGCCGGATGTAGTGTACTGTCCTGGCGGGAGGGGCGGCCCACTGGGGGTCGTGCCTCCTGGAGCCGTCCCCGGGACGTGAGTCCTGGAGGAGGCGAGGGTGAGTAGGAAGGGGCCTGGCTGGGGAAGCTCCGATCGATCTGCATTGCCTTGGCCCCTGCCTCAAACTCCAGGCCCTCCTGGCCTGGGCTGTGGCCTGAGCCTTCATCACTAGCCTCCTCACCTGCTGCCTCTTCTTTCTGCACTAATTACTGCATTATAAAGTCAGAGCCACCTCTCAGGGCCTCCGTTGAATGAGTCGATGACTTATCCCTAATTGTCTCTGTGGGCTCGTGTAGGGAGTAGATATGGGATAAAATGGGAAAGCACGTTGTAAACTGAAAAGCTCAGTGCGACTGTGATTGCTACTAATGCATGGATCACTCCTACAGGATAATTACGAAATTCATTAGCCAAGCAATTGAGGATCTTAATCTGGCCCTAGTTAGCTCCCCAGCCTCATCTGCAAACACCGAGCCAGGTCCACGTGTCCCAGATATTAGCCACACAATCAGTGCTAACTACTTGAGAGGCGTTCTTTTTGAGGTTCTCCCTACTCCTTGCCTGTGCTCTAGCTTTCCTGCTGCCATGGAATGGCCTTAGCCCCTTCTCTATCTGGAATGCCATCTCAAATGTCACCATCTCTGAGGACTTCCCAAAAAAACAACCCTTTAGTCCTGATCAGAATGACTCTTCCTTTGCTTGTGACTGCCGCACCACTAGTTTTGTACTAGTTATAATTATTAGAGCATTTATTTCACTGGCTGGTTTTATAATTAATGATATCTGTACATTTTATAGCACTTTATAATTAACAACGTGGTTTTGCTGTTCATCTATAAAAATTATTTACAAAAAAAAAATCACCGTGTGTGTGTGTGTGTGTGTGTGTGTGTGTATATGTTTTTTTGAGCTAGAAAAGGACCCTAGCTCATCGGTAGTGATAAATTTCTCCTACAAAGCTCCCAGATTCTCCAGAGTCAGAGATTGGACTGACACTTTTTTGGTGAAATCAGAAGAGGGCTTGTCTGCCCTTCTGGCAGCTGTTAACTAGCTGATTAGCAGCTGCTTTCTTTAGATATGCATGTTTGCTCCAGTTTGCACTTTTCCCAGGGTGGCAAAATTAGGTAGTGGTAGAGCCAAGACTTTTAGTTCTCTCTTCTAGTCTTGTGTTCTTATCTCTAGACCGCTCACTACTTCTCCAACAGAAGAGACAGAAATGGGGAATTAAAGAGCAGATGCTCATGAGTATGACCTCTTTAGTCCAAGAAATTAAACTTTGATCCTGCTTGCCATCTGGACTTAGCACTCAGCCTGTGACTTTTCCCTGGACAAATATTTACTGATACCAGCTATGTACCTGTTACTGTGCTAACAATTATGAGGTGAAATGTATGTAACTGAGATCAAACTTTAGTATATTTTTCAAAGGTTATGAAGAGGTTTGTGTGTATGTGTGATTCTGATATGCCTAAAACTCTATCACTTAAAATCTGAAATGACATGTTTTAGAGTTCAGAACAGATGTTAGTACATAGCACTCAGCTTATTGAATGAATCAACATAGTCTACCTATTTCACTGTTCATATTTTACAGTAAATCAGAGAACTGAGGTAGCCTAAGGGCATGCTGCTTATTATTAACGGAATCAGGCCTAGAGCCCTCCTGCAATTCCTACTTTCCCGTGTTTCTACCTCCACCTGTTTTGTAGCTTCTTTCAACTCACTTTAACATAATCCTGCCTGTGACAGTAGTTTTTCTGACAGAAGTGTCTCCCAAAGCCCATATTTTCTGCCAGCGTATTAACTCAAATTGTCAGCAAAATAAAGACATGAAGAGCTGACCTTTACCAAAATTAAGAAAACACTTTCACTTTAAGGCAGAATTTGAACCAATAATGCTTGTCAATGACAATACAAGTGCTAGCTCATCGGTAGTGATAAATTTCTCCTACAAAGCTCCCAGATGCTCCAGAGTCAGAGATTGGACTGACACTTTTTTGGTGAAATCAGAAGAGGGCTTGTCTGCCCTTCTGGCAGCTGTTAACTAGCTGATTAGCAGCTGCTTTCTTTAGATATGCATGTTTGCTCCAGTTTGCCACGCTCCCCATGACTCCCTTTGTTTCTTACACTTTTTACCTCCCAGGTCCTTGCAGGCATTCAACTTTGATACAGCATCTTACCTTTAGGAAGGAATTTTAAGATCATTGATGCAACTACCCCTTTGTCCTTCCCAACAGGTGCTTGAATTCTTCATGCTGCGTTTCTGACATAATCTAGCCTCTGCTACAACAGGGTTATGCTGGAGAACTCACTGTTTTTCTATGCAGCTAATGCATTTCTAGAAGGTTCTAGCAAACCCTATCAGACTACCAGTCAGAACAAAATCTTTCCAATGAAATATGGTTGATCCTAATGATGTAGTTTTCCAAGTAAAATCCTAAGGTCAAGAGACATAGGAGAGAACAAATAAAAATTCTTCCTTTTGTCAGCATGAGAGAGAGAACTAAGTACTAGGTATTTATTTATTTATTTATTTATTAGAACTAAGTACCTTTTAATTTAGCACTTAAATTTAGTTGATTCTGACCTGACAGTTAAGTTCACATCATACCCATTTTGTGGCTGGTTCATCATCTTTATTCCCAGCTTCAGTTCTGATGTTTAGTATTATGTGGAATCAAATCAGAAGCCATTGTGGCTTGGGGCGCCTGGGTGTCTCAATTGATTAAGCATCTGCCTTTGGCTCAGGTCCTGATCTCCAGGTCCTGGGATCAAGCCCCATATCAGGCTCCCTGCTCAGTGACAAGTCTGCTTCTCCCTCTCCTTCCATGATCTCTCTCGCTCTCACTCTCTCTCAAATAAATAAATAAATAATTTTTTTTTTTTTAAAAAGTCACTGTAGCTTTTGAGCCCTGTGCCTAAGGTTAAATACTGAGCCTCCCTTTTTTCCTCAGATAACCCCTGATATTGGGGCACCTGGGGGGCTCAGTCTTGGGCATCTGCCTCCAACTTGGGTCATGATCCCAGGGTCCTGGGATTGAGCCCTGCATCCTGCTTCCTGCTCAGCGGGAGACCTGCTTCTCCCTCACCTACTCCCCCTGCTTGTGTTCCCTCTCTCCCTGTCTCTGTCAAATAAATAAATGGAATCTTAAAAAAAAAAAAGATAACCCCTAGTAAGAGTCTTAGAAGCATCCAACCCTCTCATTTTACAGATGAGCAACTGTTCAAAGGGTCATCTAATTTGCCACATTATGGCAATTCTAGGTAGGAAGAGGACTGCAGACTTTTTGAATCCTAGTCAAATATTTATTTTTTTTTAAGATTTTATTTATTTATTTATTTGACAGAGAGAGTGAGAGAGAGCATGAGAGGGGAGAGGGTCAGAGAGAGAAGCAGACTCCCCCCTGAGCAGGGAGCCCGACGTGGGGCTTCATCTCAGGACCCTGGGATCAGGACCTCAGCTGAAGGCAGACACTTAACCGACTGAGCCCCACCTCATCAAATACTTCTATTCAGCCATATTTAGAATATATCCACTTAAGACTGATGAGACAGCTTTCAGAAATGTTTTCTGCATATAGTCATGGTTTAAATCATTGTTTCAGGGTGCTCCAGGCGTTGAGAAGACTATGAACAGGTCAGAGAACTTGTTCTTTCCTGGCTCCTCATTAGCATCCCAAGTTCATGCTGCAGCTATTAATGGAGATAAGGGTGCTCTTCACAGGCTCATCATAGGTAAGTGGTCCCCCTGAATACAGAAACTTTAAAAATAACTCTGTCCTAAGGGAGTGTGTTAATCTGAGTTTTAATTGCACTGTACTCACACATTTTAATGGCAATGTATCATTATTTATATTTCATTCCAGAACTTGAACAAGAAAGTAATTAAGGCCTGAAAGTTAAGAATATGGATTAGGATTAGGTGAAAAGTACTTGAGAAATACCTGTGTGCTTGACACTGAATTTGGATATGTACCCTAAGGTGCTAAGAGAATTAATTCATTTTTATAGTAACAGAGATCTAGAATGAGATAGTGAATAATGATCTTTTACATTTAGTATATACCTAAGGTACTAAAGCTTACAAATAGCTTACATTGTAATGATTTAAAATTGATTTAGTGTTCTCCCTATCATTGATTCAATTGATTCAAATTGATTCAACATTCTCCCTATCGTATATCTATAGAGAGAGGCCCAGTATTAAAGTTCTAGAAGGAGAGAACAAACTGAGTAGGAGAGAGAGTATCCAAGGACAAAAATGGGTGAGAATTTTTCAGATATTGTAAAAAAACCACATTTCCACCTATTCAGAAGTCATTAGTCTTTATTTCAAGAAACGAAATAAAAATGTATATTGTTTTTAATCTTTTACACACCAGTGTCTAGTGACATGATTGACAACTTGGGGCCTTAAAATAAAATCCATACTATTTGAATTTCTGTACTGGTTCCATCATTTTTGACCTACATTTCCAGTGTCTCCAAAAACTTCTAACCATGTACCCTAACCTCTGACTAGGCTCTCCATTCCCCAAAATGTCATTAATTTTGTCTTACTTTCTCTATGTATCTGTCTCCTCTCCTCCCACCTCCTTATCCTCTTCTCTGCTACACTCTTACTTATCTTTTTTTTATTAACATATAATATATTATTTGTTTCAGGGGTACAGGTCTGTGATTCATCAGTCTTACACAATTCACAGTGCTCACCATAACACATACCCTCCCCAATGTCCATTACCCAGCCACCCCATC